ATAGCTAGCTAACTCAATAAAAGTGGTACGGATAGCTAGCTATCACAAGCCGATATTGCCCGATAACATATTTTTATAGCTAGATAATCTCAAAGGCATTTTTTTGCTTGGGACGTTACAGTGCACACTAAACTAAATAGACAGATCATAAACAGAAAAAATTCTTTAAGGATGCACAAACTCACGAGTGACTTCCTAATTCTTTAACTTCATGTTGTAAAATTCGACAGACATTTTGGTCTGGTACAAGATCTTGTTTATCTTCTAAATTTTCAGCCGTGCTCAATGAAATGCGCTGTGTAACCGTCTGAATATCCGTCTAAACCATGAGATATTATTATCAAAAGGCAACATACATCAGTCAAACAACGCACTTTTAAAATACAATCACGTAACGTCTGCTCACTTTGATTGTGTATTGATACAATTGATGAAAATGTTTCGCCCAAAAAAACCTTTCTAAAATAAATTATTAAATTGCTTCACATTAGCTTCGTATTTATTATTACCCAAAACTATACGGTAATACAAGAATATTGCTTAATGATGAATTAGGTATGCTATTTGACAATGATCCATCTAATGATTGTCCGGTAATAAAAGCTGATGAGTACAAATCAGATGGTTCACAATAAACAGGTGCACTTTGATACAGGGCAGGTTTCGATAAACGCATTACTAAAAATATATTCATAAAATTGATTTGATATTTGAGAGTAGACTAGTAATGAGATTTGATTTTACCTCGAACGGCAAGTAACTCCGAAGTTTTTACCTCCGTCGCTATTGACATACTGAATTGCTGTTATTTCGAACTCGTTTAAACTGTAATCTAAAATATCAAAATAATTAATATATCTCAAGAATATTATAAAAAAATCCCTAATAAAAGTATCATCGAGCAAATTGCACAACTTAAATTGTTGAATAGTATACAGATTTGCAATAGCAAATTACTGAAACTTACGTATCCGAGTACGATGCTAACTTTAAAATTTTTAAAGGAAGACAAAAAACTTTCAAAAGAGAAATGTGTTCTTGACCGAGAATGCTAAAGAAAAAAAGTTTTCTTCGAAACAGGTAGCACAATTAGATGCGACCGTGTAGGAAGGAAGAAAAACGTTTTCAAGAAGGATTATTTGAAGCGTGAAAATTTTGAATTCGGCGATTTCATCTTGACTGAACTTTTCCACCGACATTGAAAGTGATATGAAAACGTTGTTTACTTTAGACTGAGAATCTAGAAAGTATAGTTTTTATATACGTTACTATCGAATACAACTTGTTCGTTAGGATCAGACGTTAGCCTCTTGATTCTCTAATGATACCATCGGCAATTTAGTCTGATCTTATGGAAAAAATAACAATTTGTTGCTAACTTTCAAATTCTTCGAGCTCCTAAAGTTTTGGAACACCTCCAAGAGCAATACACAACTCAAGCCAACTGTATACGCCGAAGGTTCAGATTTTCTGATAAATTGGATAATGCTGTTCGTTTTATTTACAACAGTTCATACAAATTACATGTACCACATAATCCGTGGTATCAGTTAGATATAGTACTGTGTCTTTTATGCCAAAAACAGATTGGTACTGGAAGACCTTCTCTCATCCAGCCAATTAGTCTTATTCAACAGCGTGGATGTCAGAAAAAGCGATTTCTCAAATGTCATAACACAGAAGACAATAGCACTTAATACTTGAAAGAACTCCAAATCGTCTATTTTAGTAAAACTGTATCATTCTTTGCTCTCAGTATTTCAACTGATGCGTTTTGCTGTTCTCTTGCTTATTTCTTAGAAAATTTGCTCTTTTAGGGATTAAATAGTGTTAAATAAAAACATAAAATCTTGAGTTTTTGCAGAAATGTAAATAAAAGTATTGTTTGTTTAAATAAACGAGTTAGTGTTTTCATATGTAAGATCACCCACTAACGTAGAATGTCGTATGAAATATATGAGAAAACGTGATAATGTGCTTGTTTTAATGGCTAAATGAATTAAATAAAAGACTGAAGAGTATAACCAGCTGTAGCTGTATATAGAGTAGATAGTTTACCGCTTCAGAGAGCAGAACTAATGTCAAACGTAACGTTTTGCCATCTTCTCCTATTTATTTGCGTAAAACAGCGCTTATTTATTATTATTTATCAATTGCTTTTTTTAGTGCAATTTATTCTGAGTATTTCAGAAAAAAAGTAAACAGTAAATTAATTAAGCGCTACTATTTCTTCTTTTCGTCTAAAGCAGTCCATCGAACGAACTACAAGTAGATATTGTTCCTATATACTATCTTTCTTCAGGATAAACATGAAAAGATGTATAAAAATTATTATACTCCCATAATAAAAAAATAGATCAAAATAACTTCTGAAAAGTACGCAGGCAATAACAATAACTCGTATACTTTCAGCAAGTAGCGCAAAGAAAATGACTAAATTTTTTACGCTTTCTTTTTCAGCAAAAATGAAATACAAATTTTTACTCAATCTGTTACAGACGGTATTTTAGATTCAGTCTCCACGTTTGCCGTTGATGTTTGATGGTTATCATCATTTTGTTCTATTTCAATAATAGTTGGCCGTTTCTTTTGTTTCTTCTTTCTGTTTCTTCCTTTTTTCCGTTTTTTTTTAACAATATTAGCTAGATCGATCGATTTAGTTTCATGATCCGATGGTGGTGCTGAAGAAGCAGAAGAAGAGGTATCTGTATCATGATTATTCTTGTCGCCAAATGGACAAAACATGAGATCCATTTCGATAGCGGGACCATTATCCTCTTCATCTAATTCAATTGTCACATTTTCACCAGCACTTGCTTTCTCTGTTAATTTTTTATTTGAATCTGTCAATAATGGTATAAAATCTTTACAACGTGTTATTAAATCGCTACTATCAACACGAACTGTTGTCGGCGGACATCGTTCAATTACAATCGGTTGTTTTCGACGAGACGATTCATCTTTTGTTAATAATGTTTGACATAAACGTATACGATCACAAAGTTCGGTATTTGAATAATCGTTATTAGAGACTAAATCTAAATCACTCACATCGTACTTGTTATTTTCGTCTTCGTCTTCTGATGATGTTTCACCAAAGTAAACATGTTGAGATACACTTTTCTCTAATGAACGAAAAAAGTCATGTTCATCATTTGATTCTATCTCCTCATCAATATCAACCTTGTCTAAAGTGTTCTCTTGATTAGCAATATGGTGCTCTGTGGAAACAGATGATGTTATATCTTCAATCTTTTGACAATGATCATTGGATGTTGTTTTTATCGAAGATAATACATTGAACAGTTTTTTGTCGTCTAGAATTGTGTGATTTTCCACCAGTGTATTAGAATTTGATACACTATCTGACATTCTTGGACATTAAGTCAAAAGAAATCTAAAATGACAGTCGACAGCGATGAAACGAATTAATAGGTTAAGAGAAAAATTCTAAGAGATACTCTTGTTTAATAAAACGTAACAAATCAATGAAGATCTACGAGGACTTGATTTAAGCTGATTTAATTCGAACTACTCACTTCACGACAGGATTTTATGTTACAAAAAGGCATATATTAGAATTTCGCGAATTCATGAACATTTTATGGAGCTCTAGTAAGGGTACTGACAGAAAAAGACACATATTCTTCTTGTATTCCAGCTTGAATGGAAAAGGAAACTCCAATCCTCGACACTTAGTATCTCAACTTATGTTATCGGTTCAGTTCATTCGATATATTATTTTGAAAAATGTGAAGGCTCTTTCCTTTACCACTTTAAAGCTACTGGATAAATTTCCACCAATAGTGTTCTTAACAGTTCTATGCATCAACTTCGACGAATCGGTTTCTAGAGAGCAAACATTTAACGAACATGTCACAAACCCAAAATGCTATCTAAGCTTGTTATATGAGTCCTTCCTCCGCTACTCATATATACGATTTGAAGGGTATTGCCCAGATACACTTAAAAATTGCGGTCAGTGGCAGTTATTATTAAAATGAATATTGACTTTCGTCAGGTTTCAACTACACAAGTTGCATCTGAGATCAAACTACTCCATTAGGCTAACTTTTCTGTCTAGAAACTCCAGACGAGTTTTTTAATTAGGCTCTATCCTCAACATTAGTCAATTGTAGAAGAACTCTAGTTGAATCAGCATTGGTGAAATTCAACTAGATCGAAAATTTGTTGTATGCACGATAGTCGACTTTGGATAGTCCAAATCGGCTTCCGGTTTCGACCGAACAACCTTTTACATTTGTCCGATTAGGTTGATATATTCTACATGTTAGCCGTTTTCTAGCATTGTTTGTTTATGAGAGATAATTTACATTTTTTTGGTGAAAAAGTACATGAGTTATAGTTAAATTTTGTTCATATGTTAAGATGACTGAAATAATGAATAATATTGGTCAAAATAACAATAGTCAGTTACATGTCCATTATCAGAACAATCCAGATGAAATAAATGGAAATCGCCGACCGCGACCCACAAGTGCACAGCACCAACATCATTCGACAACCTCTACATCAAGACAAAACGGTCATACATCCTCATCGCAACTGAATACAACAGCAAAGCTTGAACAGTCAATTCTTCGCCATGAAACAGATAATACTAAAAGTAATACAAGTATCAATAATAGTAAAAGTAATACAAGTATCAATAATAATAATAATAATAATAATAATCGCTCATTAAACAGTAAAGGTAAAAATCGATTATATAGTACATGGACACCATTACAAGATGAAGAAACAAATGCTAAAGTAAGAGGCTGAACGATGTAAATTTTAGAAGATTAAATCTATTTCCATTTTCTTAGTTATTTGATGAGAGAAAAACACTCGTTATCAAATGGGTAGGTGTTCACGTTTGCAGTTTAATCTAATTTCTTCAGTACTATCTCTTTTTGTTTTTAGTTTGATAAGTGGACGGATGAACAACGACGATTTGCTTTAGATGAATTAATGACTCAATGTCGACCTAAACAATTAACATTCACAAGAAATCTGTTAACAAAAAAGTTTCCAGCACTACATCAAGACTTTACCCGTTCATTTCCACGTGTACTATCATTATATATATTTAGTTTTCTCGATCCAAGAAGTCTTTGCCGTTGTGCACAAGTCAGTTCTAATACATTCTTGAAAAAATATCAGATAAATCAATACGTCACTCTTTTAAGGTCTGTTGGTTCTGGAAGTTTTTAACTGAAAATGACCAACTTTGGATGCCAAAATGTTTACGTTTTGGCTGGACACCACGTCACACGCCATCGTCGTATGAGAATGCTGTTTGGAAACGTGTTTATGGGTCAAATATCCAAGCATTACAAACAATGCCTATACGAGTAAGTGGTCTAAGATCTAAATCTAAGACCTAAAGGCGATATCTCTATTTTGTTACAGTATAACGGTCGTGTGGTATTATACATCTATGTAATACATCTTGCAGAGAGTAACAGTGGAAGATCTTAACAAAAACAACTATTTATAGCTGAAAGTGAAGTTTAAACCGAAGCAACAGATTTCTTCTCAAAAGCCATGTTTGGATTGGCCGTGTAGCTCTCTCTGCTAACGCAGTGTGATTCCATTACGTTTTTTTTGCATTTTATTTCTTCCATAATGCTTTTGTTTAGGTACTATGATAAACTATCTGAAAAAGTAGTACTCTTTATTTTTGCAATAGTACCTACACAAAAGCAAGTGTAGAGTGCACAAAAGTCACAAAATATTCAGCTAACTTTTATATTTAATAAGAGACGCTGCAGAGCTCTGAATGTGTCCTCATTCGTAAATATTGCTTTTTCCAGCATACTTATTATTCTATTTATGAGCCGAATCATAGGCGCACTAACGATAATTAAGCGTATTACATACGTCAAAGAACACAGTGTCTATGTGTATGTAATTAAACTTGTCTTTATTAACACTACTGTAACGGGTGTGCCATAAAGAATGGGTATTTTGTATTTCCTCAATAACTCCATTAGTTTTAATCGAATCGAACTAATTTTTTTTTAATTTTTATTGTAAAAATAATGAAGAAGCCCAACATGTCCAACTTTCAAGCCCAAAATTCAATTTCTTTGGGTTTGTGCTCAGATACGGAACGGAAAAAAAGGTAAATAGGCCATTTTGTAGAGTTTTGAAAGCGTTATCTTCCTAGTGTGTTTCGAAAATTTCGAAGCAAAACCCTGTCGTACAAAATTTGCTTTTGTTTTTTCGTATATTTCAAAAAACACGAGGTTCAAACGGTGGTTTTGGCTCTTCTCGAAAAATCGACGTAATTCGGCCGAAATACAACCGTTTAAGCCAAATCTTTTTGGTTTGAAACCTCATGAGTTGTACATTGAAGCCATGTTTAGGTCAAACAAAAATTAATTTTTTTCCACCAGGTTCAAACGTCAAAACGAAAACCATCAGTTTTTACCTAGCAAGCAAAAAATAGATTTTGCTTCACTGGTTTTGAGCGAAACGTCTATTCTTTTATACGATCAGAAAGAGCACAGTTCTGTGTACAGTAAATCAAAATTTAATATTTTTTCAGATGAGCTTTATTGCCGAAAACAATGGTAAAACATTTATATGTATTCGAGCTTGAAAGTTAGACATGTTCGGCTTCTTTAATAACTTTTTTAATTTTGAGTTTAGGACAAAAATCTTTTTATGGTTTGATAGAGAATGAATCTTTTTAAAAAAAATTAGTTCGATTCGAAAAAAAACTGACGAAGTTATTCAGAACAAAACACCCATTCTTTATGACACACCCATTACATAATAAAATAAAGTGTTATTCGCTTGTAATATAAGCAGATTTATGAGGATTTTAAGTGAACAATAACGTGGTAGAATTTTTTTTGCAAAAATGTACACTGAATAATATTAATGACTAATAAAGTTATTATAAAAACATTTCAGTACAGAGACACAGAACGTTTTATTAACTCGTTAATATCCTATCAGCTCATTTCTTCAACGTTTGCACTTTAGTTCAGTTTTGCATAATATTCCATTTGTTTAGCTCTTCTAATTGTTAAAAATATTATTCTTCACTAATTACATTTGTTTGTGTAGAATACTAGCTAGTTCGTTCGAAAACTACTCGAAATCCGAACTTATCTACTTCAGTACCTTCTACAAAGACACCTTAACAACATTACAGCGAGACAGAGGCGGATCTAACTAGATCTTGTTTATCTTACAGGATAACCAACTCTACAATACTCATCGACCTCAAAATGCTTTACACGATAGCGAATATGATAAGCATGACCGTTCAAATTTATCATCTCGTCAAAATACAAATCGTTCAAATTCTGGTCGTCATCATCATAATCATTCAATGTTGAATACGAGTACTGGCAGTACTAGTAGTAAACAAAAAAATATTCAGCCACCTTGGCGTGCAAATAGTAAATTTCCTACAGATACATTACGATTTAATTATTTGGATAATGATGATACTGTTTTGGAAACATTAATAGCTCGAAACCGTAAATATTCTTCTCAAAATTATAATACATCAACAGCGCATGAATCGGATCATGAAAAAGAACGCCGACGTAGTCGTACGAAAGATGAAAACAATAATAGTTATAGAGAAAAACGACGAAGTCAGTCACTGGTAAGAAAAATGTACTCACATCATTTGCTAAGATTAATTATGTTTTGATTTTAGAGTGCTCGTGGTAGTCCTTCTCCCAGTTCAAGACCATATCATGATAAAACATCAGGTGAAAGAGAATTTGGTATTGCCACATTAACCGGAAACCATTCCTTTACAATTCGTCCTCAATCAACTATGGCCAATCGTCCTGATCTTCCTCGACCACCATCATCTCAAAAAGTAAAGTATTCATCATCAAAAACATTTGGAAGTGGTATGTATAAAGTTCAATTCCAATTTAATTAGGCTATAAGCATTTTTTTCTTCAAAATTAGAAATACCAAATCGAAATTGGAATACAACAAATGATGAATATGACGATTAATGAAGAACAGTTGTGATGATAGTTGTTGTATATTTTTTTTACATGTTAAATGTTTAGGTGGGACTGTGTTTTTATTTGTCCTTAATCTCTTTTACAGTTTTGGCAATAATACTGAGTGTGTGCTCGAAATTTTCAAGCAGCACGTATTTTATCGACAGGGTAGATCAAAATGTGTTTGTAGTTTCACTTTTTATTATTTCGAATGAAAAGCAAAAATATTAACAACTTTTCTGTGTTATATCTGTTGTTTTGTTTGTATTCTTATTGTTAATAAATATATTGGTTTTTTGTACTTTGTATTTATTGCGTTAAAATTTTACTGATCTTTCATATTCGTCGAGCAACAAGACCATAAGTTGTGTTTATCGTACAGAAAATCAAGGTTAAAGTCATATTTTTTCCAATAGTTCTGACCGATGTCACATGAGTGATCCTCTTTCAAGAGAAAATATAAACTACTCGAAGCTGGCACATTTCAGAACTACCCACACTCTATATTGATAGTAGTAATTAGATGGCAGGGTATTCTTCATTCCTTCCTTTTTAGCCAAGTTAAAAACGATTTTACTAGGCTCCTATCGGATCCTATTTTTATGTGATGAAGGTAATTTGTTCTCTGATTACTTACTATCCATTGTTTTTTTTGCACTATGATAAACGTTTGAAAACGATTAATAAAAGAGTTACCATAGCAGTCCCTATTTTTTGTTGTGGCCTTCCTGTTTTATGTTCTGCAGATAAGAAAATAAGAATGAAAGGATTTTAACCCGTTTCCTTAACGAGCATGGCTAAAGTAAGTCTGTCAGAGTGGTATGATTAAACTCAGGATTAAAGTATAAGAACATCTTAAACTTTATTGGTATAGGAACAATAATAATAAAAAAATAGAATAATATGTTCAAAAAAACAGAAAAAAAAACGGTAAAATATTTAAATGGATGACCGATGGAATAGTTCTAGTTTGTTTATAATCATTTTGTCATACCGTAAGTCTCAATAAACAAAAACGCTAATTCTAGAAATGAATCTTAAAGAACACTAAAAAACAAACGACTAGATGAAAAAAAAGTAGAATAATAGAATGAAAAAATCATTCTTTCTTGAATGAATCACCGCGTTCAGGTTTTCCTAAAATATGAGAAAAATAACAGAATATTGACGCTGATAGATTCAAAAACGTACCAGGATCATCGGCTGACATTTGAAATTGACATGATTCTCCTTTCCAACCCTCCTTACATTTACAATCTCCTGTCACCAAATCGCATATGTGAAAAGACTGACAACGACATGGTTGACACCCAACACCATATGTGTTTATTGGGCAGTCTAGAGTTAAGAGTGTTATTTATGGGAGATATGATCAATTTTCTATTAATCACTCACCTTCTTCACATTTAACACCTGTTTTGCCTGCTTTACATCGACATTTTCCTGTATCATGTTCGCACGGACTGTCTAAGCCACAATTGCATCTGTTCGAGCACATTGAACCCCAAGTAAAATTATCACATTCTAAGCATAAAAGAATGATCTGACAAAAAACTTTTCATCATTTTGGATACTCACGTTTTTCACATCGATCACCCATGTGTCCTGGTTTACAGTTGCATTTGCCCGATTTCGGATCACAACTAAGAGCATTAGCCGTACAATTACATGACTGAGAACAATAAAATCCGTATGAAAACTGTCGACATTCTAACAAAATATAGAAGCAATATTAATTGGCGAGCAATATCTAAACCTTCGTCACATTTACCAAATTCGCAAATAGGTCCAAAATATCCACTTTGACAAGTACAACAACCTCAAATAAAAATCGATAATGACTTTATTAAAAAAGTACTCATTCAAAAGTAGAACGTCAAACCTGTAACACGATTACATGTGCCACCATTTTTGCATTGACAAAGTTCAGAACAATTATTCCCGTAGTAGCCATCTGGACATTCTGACGTAATGAAAACGTAATTAGCAGAAAATATAGTATATTCTTTGCTTAAAATTCTTTGCTCGAAACTATTAGAATTATACTGATCTTACCGTGTTCGCATTTTCTTCCAGTTCTACCCATACCTGAAAGACAAAAAGAAGGAGAAGTTTTCCATGTTGTTGTAAAGTCTTACACTGGTGACTTACCACATATACATTGACCATTTCGGTGATCGCAAGTCGCACCATTCAAACAATCACATCTGTTACCACATCCCTGTCCATACCAACCTCTTTCACAAGCTGAAATTCAAATGTAGTCGAATATTTCATTTTTATTAAAGTGTTCCAATTCGACCTTGATCACAATATCTGCCAACATAACCCGGTGAACAATGGCAGTCACCATTTCTCGGATTACATGCGGCGTTATTCATGCATACACATTTATTTCGACAATTCAAACCATAATGACCTAAAGTTTTGACTAAGTTGGATATTTTTAAAAATAAACATTAATTAACTAGACCTTCTGAACAAGACTGTGAACATGTTGGTCCCTGCCAACCAGGAAAACAAACGCATGTTCCAGTGAATGGATCACATTTTCCGTTTGAAGAACAATAACATGAATGCCGACAATTCGATCCATACGTGCCTTCTCGGCAAGCTGATAAGAAAGAAAACATCAAAAATAACAGATAAATAATGTTCTAAAATTCCCTTACGTAGTTTACATTGGACACCCTGAAAACCGAGTGGACATAAACATTCTCCTGTGTCATGGGCACCTATTCAAAACACAAATAGAAGCAGATAGATAGATAGAAGAAAGTTTAACGCACAATAAGTTCTATTTTGGCAATTACACCATTCATGACATTGATGACCATATCTGTTGGCTGGACAGACGGTCTCACACGTCTTCCCTCTCCATCCTGGTCGACAAGCGCATTCACCAGTGATAGAATCACCTGGAAGAAAAACACTAAAATATTATTTAGTTTTACACTTCTATATTCTACTTACAATCACCACCATTTAAACAATTACATGAATGAGTACAACGTTTACCATATGTTCCCTGCGGACACCTTAGTTCACAATTCTTTCCATGCCAACCGGGAGTACAATCACAAATGCCGTGGGTACATCGTGTACCATTTTCACATTGACATTCAGTCTGACAAGTAGGTCCTGAACGGTTTGGAGAACATTCTTAATAAAAACAGATGGGTCTCTTTGCATTTCTTTTCAGTATAATTTAATGAGACGTTACGAATTTACTAAGCATATCAAAATTTTTTGTTCTATGGTATGAGCTCGAATCTTCCACTTTGAACTTCAGTAAGATCTGGTTCATCTATAAGTACTGAGTTATTAGTCAGAGTATGAATATGACGTTTTTATAAATTAGCTAAGAATAAAGAATAATTCTTCAATTTAAATACTTCTTAAATTGGTTAAAAACAGCCTGTTTATAGTATCTGTGATATAAGTAAAAGTCAACGCTATGTGCTGTTAACCGGCCATTTTTAGGCTTTTAATTGATGTTTAGTTTACTAGTAATTACCTTGTGCGTAATAAATTTTGCCGAGGCACTGTCGAAAGTTTTTTTCCATTGTTTTGTTCTGTACTTTTGAAAAGATCATAGGAGGAACCGAAAGTTAAACGGCATTGCGAAATTTTTCAAAATGATAGAAGCAATATTTTATGGTAGCCAATTAAGAATGAATCCGCTTTAGAACGTGTTTATGAAACGATCTGTTATTGATGGAAAAACAATTTGAAAAGGAGACTGTTTTTGACCGTATAACTTGACCTAAGGATGACTTGTTAACACAAGAATTTACGGATCGTTAACTGGCCATTAACTCGTTATAAATACTCAGATGTGGAGAGGACTACTGCACAAACGTACTTGATTAAAGTTCTATTACTTTTTGTACATACTTTTATCATGACAACTGCCTGTTATATGATGACATATTTGATTTGATGTACACGAACATGAATATCTGCAATTTTTTCCAAATGTTTTGTATGAACATGGGCGTCCACAATCAGGACCTTCGTAACCGGGAGAACATTCACAAGTGCCATTCTAAAGATAAGACAAGAAAAGCTCATAATTTTTTTTGAACATTTCTTTCGTTTGAATAGTATACTGTTAACATACTCACTCAAACAACATACTTCCACACTGCATGACTCTGTTGTATCAAATTTACAATAACATCTTCTCATACATTGAACGCCATATTCTCCTCGTTGACATGTTTCATTGCAAAAAGTTCCCTTGTATCCCGCTCTACACTCGCATCTTTGCATTCGCCAATTACAAATGCCGTATTCACATTGATGACAATAATATTCACATTTAGAACCGAATCGTCCCGGCTGACATTGAAACGAGCCTAAAAAACCAACTATAAGTTAGATTTCTCAACAGACAAGAAGCATAGACAATTATTTAACCTCTATTTGATGCTATGTCATCAAAATGTGTTCGCCTTAATGATTTTCTTTGCATTTTTCCTTGTTGCTTGGATGTTATTGTATAATTTATAGCTGAAAAAAATTAAGTGCACCATTGCCAAAAAGTCAAGCAAAACCAGCGACAATAGTAAATAGAAAAATATGACATTTTTTTTAAATTAAAATTGCATCACTCTATAGACCGTACACCAATTTGACTTTAGGGCGTACAACAGATAAAATTAAACTTATAGGCATCATGAATAAAATTCAATCATAGATAAATTAAAAAAAGGTCAATTTAGAGAATAGTTGATGTTTAATATGCTAGATGATGGTACCCTAACAATTGTCACTCTCTTTGAATGATAAAAACACTTTATCGTTGTTACATATTATGGTAGTAATATTATTGTTGCACTTCAAAATATTACGTGTTCAATTATTTCAAATAAAATGGACATAATTAAGTGTACTCTCTCTCTCTCTTGTGGAATAGTAGACTAATAAGATGATCAGCGAAATATTTTTGATCTTGATCTTAAAGAAAACAAGCTATTTGTCGTTTATCCATTTGTGTTGTTTGATCTTATGACATATTCAACAGTCCAGACCCAAATCGATTAATCATACAATTTGTTATCTGAAGGTTTATAATTTTAATGTATATATATATATATATATATAGATGATAAAAGTTTTTTTTAAATTAGGTTATAAGAGAATACATTCTGTATGTTTTATTCATTAATATGTCATTTAACTATAGACCATGTGTTCTTTTTCTCTTTCGTGTGCCAATGTTTGATTGTCGTCTAAAATTACTTATCCTAACCACCTTTCATAGTCGATGAATATATTTTAAATTTGTTTTTGATGATATCACTAGTTTTGAACTGAATATACACCAATCAACTATCATTTATAGATTTACACCTAATATCATAATAATATTCTGAAAATTGGTGATAATTTGAGATTTTTATACTTAAACATCTTTATCAATATGAGACTATAGTACATATATTTGATCTAACTGCTAAAGTAGATCTATAAAATGACTAATTATCATCAAAGATTAGTAGAGAGTCGCATAAACTATCATCAAAAGTGAAATATTCTACCTTCTTTTCAAACAATATAAGATAGATGTTTAACACACAAAACATAGCCTATCATTACAATCATCGGCTTTTCATAATTATTTGTATTCTATTGTTTAGATATAATTGAAATAGATCGAAAATAGAATACGAACAAATGAATAGAATGAGAACAAATTATTATTATAAGTCACACAATATCGATCATTCAATTATCAGTAACTAAAGAACTTGTCTTACCAATTGGACATCCAATATCATTAATATTTCTCGTATAACCCTCACAACAAGTATACACTATTATTTGAATTTTTTTCAATACAGGCTCATTCGTTTGATAATATTCCGTTCTAAATTTAGAAGAACACAATATTAAATCAGTATATCTTTTTTATTTTCTTTGTTTACTTGTGTTTATATGTTTGACAAAGTTTTCTTCCATCCGTACAATTACGTGTCCATATTCGAACTAAATGATCAAAACTTTTCAAACATGGCACATAAGTAGTGATGGTACGCTCTTCATTGTGACCACATACATTTAACCTAAAATGAAAGTCATTTTCAACATATCACTTATTAATGGTAAATATCTTGCTGTATAAAGATTTGACTCAAGATACAAAACCAAGAAATTCACTGGATTATCCTTAAATTAGATTTTTTGTATTATTCGTATAGACACATACGTAATTTAGAAGATTTATTTAGTTCTTTTTCTTTCATTGTTTTCATGTTTATAGTCAAACACATACTTGATCCAACTCTTAATCTCACACACTTTTGATCTTCAGTTACAATGATGATCTTCTCATTGACATAAAACCAAATGTATTATTTATCTGTTTTTATTTTTCTCGATGGTAGATTGCTCTCTCAAAGTAAAACATGTCTGCAGATTTCAGCAATAGATGTGGACAGATTTTATGATTTGCAAATGTCTTTGAAGAATCTGCATACAGAATATAAAAGAATTCTAACAGAATTTGTATAGATCTGTCGAAGATTGTTACTAGAACTGTCGAAGATTGTTGTTAGAATATCAAGAGATTTTTCATAATTTTTTGCTGATTTACTATAAGCTGTAGCTTCAAAAAACTATGTTATACCTTGAAAAATATTTGTAAATATAAAATAATCATCAGACATTTCTCAGACTCTTCAAGTGATGTTATTCTGTGAACATCTCCAATAGATCTACGTAGATTTTTACACAGATTCGGAAGAATTTTCCGTTACCAACTATGTCTACATTCTGCAAACTTCTATCGTAGATCTTATCTAAATAATTAATAGCTTGTAGAAATGTTTTTTTTGAGTCGTTTTTTCCTTCATCGCCAATAGGTTAGTTAGCAAGAAAACTTCTTTAGAGATAGTCGTTAGACAAGAGGTTTTTATAGAAAAATTCGTTTCTGAACTTTTTTCTAGATCAACTCAATCATTTAGAGAGACATATATATTGTAACCAGCAAACAATTTCCTTCTCCATATCGTTTTCAACAATTATACATAGATCGAATAGAATTTTCCAATTGAATGCATTACCATTTTCTGACATATTATTACTTACATATCAGGTTTTAATTCAATATCGTTATTTCCATTTACTATGATATTATTCAAATAAAACACGATAAATAATTGAAAAATCGAAGTGTAATACGACATTAACTTTTCGAATGACACTATTGTGCAATAATAATAAAGATTTCGTGTATAGTATAGTATGCTTATATCATTTGTGGTTAAATGGATATGTTGGTTAAATTCTAGCGGATGAATGTCATCGTCAAGGAAAAAGAAAAGCGATTATATTTGAACAATAAAAATCAATAAATCATTAGAATATCTATTGTAAAATAGAAATAGAAAAAAGAAAAGTAGAGAGATCTTCTTTTTATCATTGAAAAACAGAATGATTATGAAGAAGAGCAATATGTACAACAAATGAAGGTCTCAAATGAGTAAAGAGAAATGGGCAAAATTTCAGCCTCTCATTTCTTAAAAATTGAAATTTTTATTTGATGATGATTACATACGTGTCATCTGCATGTTAAACATCTACGGATTCTTTGTTGTTCACTTTAAAATAAATTTCGTCACTTATTACATAAAATAGATCTTTGAAAAAAAATTTTTTTTTTATTTCAATTGAAAAATATCGTAGCACTTCTTTTTCTCTTTGTTGCACAATTCTCTCTTCTATTCCGAATCTAACAAGAAAAGAAAAGAAAGAATAGTGTATATGATTTATGTTCGTTCTATCTATTAGTACATAGTATTTCTGAGATCATCATGTGAAATATATACAATCATACATATGAAAAAGAGAAAGAAGAGAGAAAGAATTCGGAGTGGAAAGAGAGAAGAATGTTTAAAAAATATCATCATATAAACAAAAACAACAAGTGTTATATACATCAATCTATAGTACTCTTTTATATATATATTTTTTTTTCAAAACTATTATATAGATCTATATTGTATTGTGATCATGCCATATGAAGTTATGGTTTTTCAGTATAATTAACTTCTTATTGTTCTAGATGAGAAGTAGAATGCGTGACGAATTGTTCGTGAAAAACATTGTGAAACTTGTCATATAAAACTATTTGACATATAATTACAATCATTTAATTTTAAAGAATTATTTGGCATGTATAGAAAGTAAAATGAAAGAAGAATGTACAATTTTATTGAAAGATGGGAATTGTACAATCTGACATCGGTCTCCTTAAGAATAAATGAAGAAAATCCATCCGAAGTACCATTTTATATCTTGAATCAATGAGGATAGAAAGTTTCTTTACTAAACCAGAATTTTTATATTACTCGTTGTTTGAACTACTTCAGCAACATATTTGTAGAACACAAAACAAAGTGACTAAGTTACCGTTCCAATATATATCATTAGTATATTTAACGCAGAGTATTTTAATAATTAAAAACTTTTTTTTCTTTGTCACATGGGTGGTTCTGTATTTTATCTAAAGAATAACTATTGCCTCTACAATTTGTGATTTCAATAGTTCGATATATATAACTGAAATGGGACAATATCAAGATAGACTCTCGCTCATAGTAATCTTAGAAAAGGAAAAATAAATCGGTTATAACAAATAAAGGACGATAATAAATACAAGTGAATAAAAATAAAATGTATATTTTATTATTTTTATCAGATTATAATCGATTAAATTATTATTGCTTAGATATATGGCGTTATTGATTAAATTTTTTTTGATTTAAATAGTATGCTATTTTATTTCAAAAAAAAATATTGTTAGAATGCGTGCCGATAAAATTTAGAAAAGAAGAAAAATAACTGACACAATAACTTCATTAGGGTACCATCTAGATGGTTCCTTCGATTGACAGAAAATACCGCAATAAAAGCCACAAAAAGTTGAAGGATAGCCTATGGTTAAAGGTATGGATTGCCTGTAAGAGGAAGTACGCATTGTCAGTGACTTTTTTACTTTCTATATGCAGTCGCGTTAGTGTTTGTTATGTTCTCCAATGCAACTATGAAATATTGTGCTCTGCTTTCTTTTCATTCATTTTTTTGTTTTACGATAGTACATCTGTATAATTAACTCGAACTTTTATTTAGAAAATTGAACATATAATATAATTCATTGAGGCTGAAACCTTGATAACTCGAATTGTCTAATATAGAATAGATCCAAAAAACGCTATCGTTGCTCCAAGTTTAATGCATACATAGTCTCTATATTCATCTTCAGGACTCATACTCGAACCGAGCAATTTGTGCTCGATGCCTGATTCGTGCTCCAATATCAAATACCTGAACTCGTATTTACACTCAAGGTCCAGATACTCATACTCGAGAAAACGCGTATTCATCAAATTCAGAAAAATCGGTTTGATCATAATAACATAAAATTAAGTTATTGAAAAGTTAATTAAAGGTGGGTTTGAGACGAGATATCTAGAACAATAGTATCACAGTACACGTTGATGAACCAGCCACCAAGTAGAGATGTGCGCGGGTACCGTTTTCTTACCTGTATTCGATCCAAGAACTTTGTATTCGTACCCGATCCGTCCCCGACTTATGCCTAAAAATTTTCTCATTTTTGGTTTCCAACTAAAAACTTTTGTTTTTCGACTGGAGATGTCAAGTTATCATTACGTTCTCAAGTAACTGTTTTAAAACTTCGTGTATTTCAGCTAAAATCTTGTATTTTTTCCACTAAAATCGGTTTTCGAATAAATTAAATAAAACGGAACTCGTACCCAACCCGTACCTGTGACTGCTGTACCCGTATCCGACAACTTCGTATCCGTACCTAACAGTTGGGTACGCGTCGGGTTGCACATCTCTACCGCCAAATGACCATCTATGTGCATTAAAAGTAACAAATAAATGGCAACTGATTAAATAAAAAGCGCAAGTATCTCTTGTTAATGTTGTCTGTTATATCCATCCAGATTTAACAAAATATTATGTACTCATTCTTCCACTCATCTTTTACGTAGAAACATCTAAATTTTCTTCTATATAGTATATAGAAGTCTATAGTTAAAAAATGAAGTTACATTTATTTGATAATTTGTAGGGAAACTATTCACGTTCTCTAATATATGTAAGATTTCTGCAGATGATATATCACATATCTAATCGAAACTTCATAATCGTTGGAAATAACCATTTGAATAAAGAAAATCTATCTATAAATCTAGTTTTAGTTAGTAAAAAAGATTAGAGATAAGTGGCATTAAACAGTGGAAATGCACAACTCGTAGCTAACCAGTGCAATTTGTACCTAGAGACGTTCTTCCATTTTAACTTACTGCAGCTACGAAACAAATTACTCTCTTACCACATGCTAATATTTCTCTTAGAAGGATGGCTAACCTTCCTACCTGTGTTCGTTCACTTGGCTAATTTACTAGCGAACAATGGGTGATGTTCGGCGACATCTATCCAGGGCAGCTTTTCATTACGAACTTTAAGATATAAAAGATCATTAATTTTGAAGAGTTAGTATTATACTCAATTTAATACTTCTTTTGTAAGAAAAAAATCAGAATGATGTTTAGAGTTTTCGATGTGACAGATATGGATTCATAAAGTCAAAAGGCAGATGGAAAGAAGTAAAGAAATAAGTCAAAAATCAACGGCTTATGAGGAATAATTTTGTTTGAAAAAAATATGTTGAACATTTGCGTAAAGATCGTCAAACAGAAATTTGTTTTGATCAAGTTATGAAATCATTTTATGGAGCTGCTTTTTATCCACAGAAACAGAAGAAGACTGAAGTGTCATTGTCTTTTTCTACTTGTTGTTGTGTTCTCTGTTTGTGCTAAAAAATGTTCGGGAAATTTATTGCCGAGTTTTGGTGGGGAGAAAAACATTGTACTACGTCGCATTCACAGTCCATACAATGCCGTAGGTGACACAATAATACCATTTGGAACAACAGTATTAATTGAAAATGGAACAGTAATCCGATTTCCGCCTGGTTCCCAATTGATAGTCCGAGGAACTCTAATTGCACAGGTTCGTATCGTCATTTCAGAAAGATACATTTTAGCAATTGACAAATGCGTTATTTTTGTTTTAGGGCACTAGTAATCATCGTATTTTGTTTACGAGTTCAAGTGGCAACATTTATACTGATCAACAGCAAACACCATCTGGTATAAAATTTCGCTTGATAGACGGTGCATCGACTCAAAATGGACTTTTACAAATATATCACAAAGATCATTGGAGATATGTTTGTTCACAGTCTTATAGGTACACACTTCGAGAATCTTGTTTCTATCAATTTTACAATTTAACATATTTTTTTATTTATAGATGGTTTGATTTTGATGCAAATTTAACGTGTCGAACGCTGGGTTTTCGTAACGGAACCGTATCACCACATAGAAATAATTATCAATCTATGTACGGTATTGTTATTGATTATCCAGCATGTACAAGTAGTGAGACAAATCTACTGAATTGCGCCGGCTTTCATTCTCCTCAAATTGGACTTCATATTTGTGGTATGTATATAGTGCTTTTTTTTGTTTTATATATCTCTGATTGAAAAACACTCTTGCCATAAAGCGCTTGAATTACTTTACTTTTCTTGGGGTGATATTATATATCAATAACGACCCACTATGATATTTTATTGCACATGAAATAAATCTTCTTTTTAGAAAAATCAATATCTTTAACATCTAAGATAAAAGTAAGATAATCATTTTTGCACGAAGCTAACAATCTCTGCTTTCTTTGTAATCCGTTTTTTTTTATTCGGTGCCTGTAAATGATTTTTTTATATGTTTGCTTAATGTTAATTTGTTGCTTGCTTTATGTTGCAAATGAATTTATGATGATGTTTTTTTCATTATTGCATGTTGTTGAAATGAAACGCATGGAAAAAAACATCTGATCTATTAAAATTGATTAAAAATTTGTTCATGTCAGAATCAACTTTGTATGAAGTTTATTATAGTTTGTTAAAAAGTTCGTTATACAATCCTATCCTTACAAAATAGAAGACAAAAAAATTATTGATTTTCTCGAAGTTTTATATTTTTAGGTTACTCTCCTCGCTAGATGTAATCTTTAGTTAATTGTTGTTGTTGTTACAATTCCAAAAAATATGATGTTCTTTTCTTTTATTTAGACGACAAGCAATATATTCATTTAATTTGTGATGGTTTCTATGATCCATCTCCATTTCATAATTGGGGTGGAATTGTGTTCGAACGCCGTCGATCGATCGAACGATCGATTATTCCAGAAATATCAGATTCAGCCACAACATTATCTGATCAACCATTATCCCAATCAATTTTATCTTATGTTGACATATTTCACGCTGGTTTTCGTCCAAGTAATACGATAAGAGCTTATCCAGAGCGTTATGCAGCATTAACTGTATTTGATCATTCTCCACTTTTGTATAATGTAACCGTACAACATTCAGCATCAGATGGAATGAATTTTTCAAATGTAATGAGTTCAGTATTAATTGAAAATTCGTTATCAACACGAAATCAAGGTATGTCTCATGTAGTACTAAAGTTTATGGATCAAATTATATTTTTTCTTTTATACTAGGACATGGTATCGTAGTAACAACTCGATATGGTAATGTTACGTTAAACAATGTTGATCTTAAAAATAATGGTGGTGATGGTATATTGTATATGTTAAATAATACCGAATGGTCAAAACGTGAACAGGAAGAAGATACATCATTGTTATATAAATCATTTTGTGAAACAGCAAATATTGTACAATATCCAAGTTATCTACGTTATAGACCATTAGCATCAGGAACATGTTGTTCACAGGTAATTTCTTTAATTGATGTTCACATTTATTGGAGCTTAGTAACTAGTTTTCTACGTTTTTCTAGAAATTTGTCTCACGTAATTATTATACTCGTATCACTATTCATTTTCAAACTGTGCTTATACATGATCAAGCATCCAATTATCGATTTGAATTGTACAATGGTGCATTTGACTATGCACCATTGATAAGTAACATTACATTTTTACAACATAATCATACATTAGAGAGTATATCATCCGATTCAAATGAGATTCTTGTACGTTTTTGTCATTATTGTAATCCATTTCTTGGTTCATGTTCAAATGTGGCACAAGATAAAATTATGTTGTATGCTGTCTACGATTATGGTAATATTATTCTATTTTGAGCTTTAACAAACAAATATTAATTTTCGTGTTTTTTGTTTGAAAAATAGGTCGTGATGCTGATCTTCATTTGTGGAACACGCGTATAATGAATAATTCTAATAATGGTGTTCGTGTAGTTAATCTTCGTAGTTTAGTCGAATTAAATCAAACATTGATTAGTGGAAATAATCGACATGGACTCGAAATTGATTCAGGAGCAGGTAGATGAATTGATTTTGTTTATTCTTTTAAATGACTTTTCATTTTGTTGTTATTCTAGGTAGTATATGGTCATATCATTCAAAGTTTAATTGGAATGGTGAAGATGGCGTTCATATTGAATATAATGGAGGTGAACGTCGTTTTTTGTATAGTGAATTTTCCCATAATTTTCAACATGGTGTTTATATTAAACTCGAGCGTTCAATAAATACTCTCTTATCTAATATTACTCATCCATCAATAGATAGTTATCGTCAGATAACAAATATGAATGGTTCTATTGTTCGATCAAATATGTATTATGGTTTATATCATGGTGCAACATGTCGTTTATCATATTTTCAAATAAATGGTACACTGTTTGAACGTTGTGTGTACGATGCCATACGTTTAGAAACTTGTCAACATGAATGGCGCCCATCAGTTGTTATTTCAAATCAGTTTCGAGCACCATCTTATTCTAATTTTGATGTTAATACACCATTACCACCAATTTATAGTTCACCGTACGATGCTTATCCAAAATATCCACCTTTCATTCCTGTGGCACTATTATTTGCTAATGAAACAGGCAATATTCAGTTTAATGTAACATGGAATCGTTTTTTAAATAATAAGCGTCTGGCATTACGTATAGATCCTGTTCAGAATATAATTGGTGATATATGTAATAATAGTGTTATTGGACATGAAAATGGAGGCATACATTTAATTGGAAATAACTCAAATTGGATAAAAGATGTTTATCTACGAAATGTGACATTAAGAATTATGTTGAATAATTTTACCGATAATCGTGGCCATAGTTCAATTGTATCATTAGGTTTAAATGAGTTATCACCCTATCAGACAATATTATTCATATACAATCGTTTAATGAACAATAACATAACTGATCATTATAATCCATTTTTAAATTCTCGTTCAAAAACATCGGGTGTATTAGCAATATCTTCTAGTCACATACGTGTTACAAGAAATATATTTGGTAATAATTTTAGTCGATTTGATATTGTTAGTCAATTGACAAATTCGAATGTTATTATACAAGCTGACATGAATTTTTTTACAAATATTTATCCACCATCAATGATACATTTACAAGTACCTCTAACATCTAATGAATTACAACAAAGGAGACAACAACAATTTCAAGTATGTACGCCTATAATAAGATCTCTTTTTGTGAAGTAGTTTAACTTTTTACGAATTTATTAAACTGATTGTTTTATTTTTTGTTCTTCTTTTACAGACAGCAATTCAAAAACACAACAGACTTTCTCAGCAACAACACCAGCCATCACCATCACATCGGTATCCATCATCACTGGATCAATTTTTTCTAAAACATAATAATTTACTTGATTCGAATGATGATAATACTTCTGTACTGTTCGAAGCATTAAAACACACAAGGTATAATCGTCAAATACAAACACAACCATTATCACAAATATCCTATAGTTATTTACCAGAACCATTTGATTTAAAAACAAATTTTTTTCCATATGATCCTCTATCACCACTACAACAACAACAACAGCAACAACAAATACCTGTTCAATATTTATTACCACAAAATCAAATATTATCAATTCCATCTGTAAATAAAAGTCAATTATTATCATCTCAAACATATGATGCTTATTATGCATCACCAGCTTCTACAACCTACTATTATTATTCATTATATTATGAAAAACCAGAATTATGTTTTCAAAATTGGCCAAAAATTCGTTCTCGCATATTTGATTATCATAACCGTTCAAATCTTGCTCAAATTATTTGGTATCCATTTTTATGTAGTGATCGAAATTTAACAACAGAAATTTGGCAATGTCAATTACCTAATTGTGGATTTTCACCGGCAAGTTTTTATGTTCAACAAGATCAAACACAACGAGAAAATAATTTTAATTATATTGGTGGTGTACTCGATAAATTTTATATATTATCACCTGGAAAATATATCGTTAATAATGATATATTAATTAAACCAGGTGCTGGTTTAACAATTGAAAATTCTCAATTACAATTTATGAATGGTATTGGAATGTTTGTTATGGGTGAATTAATTGTTAAAGGTCATGATGGATCAAAAACAAGATTTGAATTATTTGAAAACGAAACAAGTAATTCAATATTGATTAATCAACAAATAAGAGAAAATGTGTTAAAAAATCGTTATTCAAATTCAAGTGAACAGGGTATAGTGATGTTAATTGCTGGTCCATCAATCTATGAAGGACGTTTATTTGTTGTTGCACCACATAAAAGTGGCTCTGGTACCATATGTAATAAAAATTGGAAACAAATTAATTCAATTATTATTTGTAATCAATTAGGTTTTATACACGATCCCAATGAACATGTTTATTCAAATAATAATCGAACAATAATGTTACTAGATCAAACTGTATCAACAATAACAGATCCGATATTGTGGAGTGAAATTGATTGTGATTATTTAGATCAAACAATATTTGATTGTAGACGAGAAATAGCACATACATGTGATCATTCAGAAGATGTTTGGATAAAATGCTTACCACCATCGTGGGCAGGTAAAAAATAAAACATTTTGTTTTTCTTGTAACCTGACAGCGATAAAAGTGGATGGATATTCCACTCCGAATACCGATGGTGTTCAAACTGGTCAGAACACGAGATATAAAACTTCTCATTATGGAATGTAAAATTGAAGTTCCAAATAGATACCAAAGTCTATTTTTCTTTTATGGAATTTTGAAAACTCTTCTGGAAGTAGTAAGTCGTTAGGTAATGCAGTCAGAATCAAAAAATATTGTATACAGGGAATACGACATCATATGGTTGTTTTCTCTGATTTTATTACATTATCACTTGGCTGATTTTTTATAACCAGTCGTCAGATGCATAGACAACCTACTAAAGAAGGAACCACTTGACTAAAAAAATATTTTGGGAATAAATTCTCTGCTTGAGGTACAATCTTTCAGATATAATGTGGGCAAAACTGAAAGCTTTGTATTGAGGACAATGTTATTCTTTTGGGCTTGGCGCTTCGACTGTTCTGACATTTTTTTAACATTCAACTCGTGTTCATCTGAGATCTCTCTCTCTCCATTTATTTTAAGAAATATTTAACGTTTTTTGTTCGTCTGTTCTAGGTGTTCATATTGCTCCATCTTACAGTAAATGTTCGTTAGAATATGTTCATTTCGATTCAGCTGGTCAATATGACTATCATCTAGATGAAATACATAGCGCATTGGAAATTGATTTAAATAATGCACAAAATTATTTAACAAATTTAACATTTTCACGAAATATTATTGGTTTAGAAATGCATATTATTCATCCATACAGTAAATCATATTTATATTATTCTAATTTTATACAAAATTCTTATGTTGGTTTATATCTTCATACAGATTTTTTAAACATAACTCATTGTAATTTTTCACATCATGTTTATTCATCTGTACATATAGAATCAACATTTTCTTATTATACACTTGAACAATATCGTTTAAATATTCAACAACAACGAAATATTGATGTTATTGATTTATTAACAGTACAATCTTACTATTTAGAACGAAATAAATATGTATTTTTAACAACAACATTTGGTGGTTATAATTCTTTTGATAATGTATTAAAAAATATTTTAACTATTCAGACAGATCCTTCATTTATACTTGTTTTTGAATTAATTGACTATAATCCATTGTCAAATACAGATGAACAACTATTTATTTGTGAATATGTTTGTATTAAACAATTGAAAAATAATTATAAAAAATGGTCATTAGCAAATGATCGTGATCAATTTCCCATTATAACAGCATATGCAAATGTTCAATTACATTATCAAGTAAATTATTATCGTTCTGGACGTTTGACACTTGTTGTCTACAGTGTACAAGCACCAACATTTCAAGATGATATTAATGGATGGACAAATCAACCATCAGATAGTCTTATTACATTTCATAAATGTCTTTTTGTACACAATCAACATGATATTGTCAATTATTTGAATGATCGTGAACCAACAAATCAATTTTATCAAAAAAAATTGATCAAAAGTGATATTGAAAGATTATTTGATCAATTATTGAATGAAAATGTTCAAAATAGAATTGAACAACGAGAACAAAATATATTTTTACAAGAGGAACAAATGAGAAAACAAATTCGTCCAGCTACAACTGTTATACAATTAAAAAGACGATATAAAAATTCAACATTGTATATTGTTGATTGTTTATTTAAAAATTCTCAAAATTGTTCAATTTTAATTCAACATGAATCAATATGGCGAACACCAGATAAAATTGAACAAGATATTCGTTTATTAATGAATCATACTTTACAACAACAACAACAACAACGAAAACCATTTATACCGATACAATACACATGTAGAATTGATTACTCAATATTTTATAGTAATGCTAAAGGTAAATAAACTTGATCGAGTGGTCAAAAATGATTCGAATATACGAATAGGTGACTCTTCAATGTTTGTAAACAGTCTACTAACGAGGGAATCTTCCTAAGTATTCAATCGCTTTTTTCTTAAAACATACACGATTGTGGGTAATCTTTGATGCTAATCTCGAATCTGATACCTGTTTCTGCTGTTAGGCCTTCCTTGGAATCCGAGTGTCCAAAGACCACTATGAACTTTCAGCTGAACGTATTTTGGCACTGTCAGATTGTAGAGTACGTTGAATTACGTGTGTGAACAAATGTTCAGAACAAACAAACAAGTTTTCGTAAAGACAGAAAAAATTTAGTATTCAAGAACCTGAAATATTTTGGTTCTTTACTGCATTAGAAAGTAGAACTTTTCTATCTCTTCAAAAAATTGTTCGTTGATTCTAAACATTTCCCCACATAGGTAATTCAACGTGCTCTACAATCTGACAGTGCCAAAATATGTTCAACTGGAAGTTCATAACGGACTTCAGGAACCCACCCCAGAAAGGTCTTGCAGCAGAAACGGGTATCAGATTCGTGATCAGCATCAAAGATTACCTACAATCGTGTATGTTTTAAAGAAAAAGCGATTGGACACTTGGGAAGATTCCCTCGTACGAAGATGTTCTCGATTTAAATTGAAAACTCACTTTTAGGCAAAATTGCGTAACGAAAATAGAATTCGTATCCTTTGCTTCAAAATAGAAAAATTTTTAATATCAACATACTTTTTATTTCATTTTAGCACTCACTATCGATGCTCATCCATTGATTTATAGTGATCGTTTATTACGGTTAGAAATTTCACATACAAATTTTACAAAAAACTATGGCCCATTGATAAACATTACATTACCAAGATTATTTAATTTTAATCGTACGTTCTTTGCATCATTATCAACGTGGCCTTATTTATCATCAACATCAATTTATACTCGGGCACCATCGATTTATTCTCTCATGTCACATGGTATACGTTTGTATCGTAATAGATATTTATTCAATGAAAATTTTCTAATTAAACTTGCTGGTTATCATTCATCTGTAAATATAACACGTTCACTATTTGAAGCAAACATAGCTCAAGATAAATTAATTGAATACAATGATATTGAAAAAGATACAATAATTCAAGATAATACATTTACGAAGAATCGAGCCAATAGTCTATTATATATTGATTCAACTGGTCATGCTCCATTTCATAATGATCTATTATCAATATCAATGATTGTCTATAATACATTTTTTGATAATGGACCGATTCATTTGAAATCACCATTTGTCACATCTTGTCTTCATTTATCTGGTTCTAAAAATGCTACAATACAACGTAATATATTTGAAAATATAAATTATGAATATGAATTTATAGCCGGTCTTTTAATCGATAGTTTAAATACAACAATTGATATTACATTAAATTGGTGGGGTTCCGATGTTTATCAAGCTATACAAAATCGTATTTTAGATTTTACAGAACGAGCTGATCATTCATTAACAGTTTGGAATCCGTTTTTAGCATGTCGAGAGCCAACATGTGCAAGTATTAAATTACCTATTGATAAAACAAATGGCATATTTCATACAAATAGACCGATTAGAGGTATTATATATGCCAGTACAATATTACATAAACGAAAACAACCTTATCTTATCAATGGTGATATAATTATTTTACCTGGTGTAACATTAACATTATCACCCGGTGTTCAATTACATTTTGCACCAAATACCGGTATACTTGTGCTTGGACAATTGAATGCTGTTGGTACAGCTAAAGAACCAATTGTAATGCGTTTAGCCAATAAAACATTTATTTTTCAACAAATTATGAATGGAGATAATCCATATCGTTACCATTTTGTTGATGATACACTAAAAATACCTTATCATTTGAAACAGGTAGGTTAAAAAATGATAAAATACTTATTTAATTTCTTGACAATTCAAGCTAAAAAAACGTATTCGAACTTTATTTTAGAATACTCGTTTTGATCGTTTACAATTACGTCTGGCTATGGGTCGTTCGCCAAATGAAGGTTTTGTACAAATATATAATCGAACAACACGCGATTGGTCTTATGTATGTTATGATACATTCAAATCTAAACAATCATTTCGTTTAATATGTTATCAATTAAATTTACCATGGCGAAATGTTTTTGCCTATTCGGAAAAATTTTATTTATATGATAATCAACAATTACCAATATGGCATGAGACAGTTGATTGTTCTGGTTCTGAATTAACACTCTCATCATGCTCCTATGATACATTATTTAATTATAAATCAAATGATACATCATGTCAACAACGTTTATTCTATATTGGATGTTATGAGACAAATGATAACTATGAACAAAACACTCAACAATTTATGATAAATGATTATACATATTTGAATTTTGGTATACCATCACCCTATTCATTACCTACCTACGATAATCCACAGGCATGGTCTGGTATTCAATTTGCTAATAGTGAATATGAAGAAGATTTATCTAATTTTGATTATACATCACCAGAACCATCTGTATTAAATTATGTTTTATTATCTGAAGGTGGCTATCGATATGACGGTCTAACACATAATTGTGAACAACCCGTTATACAAACAATCTATCGTACACCGGCTATTGAACGTTCACATATTCAAAATTCACGTTCTCATGGTTATGAATTTATTTTACCAAAACGTTCATTATTATTTGGTTTTAGTCGAATAACAAATAGTTTAAATAAAGCCATCAATGGAGTTGTTTATCATGGACAATCGACTAGTACCGACTCTGATTTTGATCTATTATATGAACAAACATTAACAAGTTGCTCAAAAACAAAACCATTTAGTCTTTTACATATGTGTAATGCACATCGTATTGTCAATATAAAATATCGACTCGTGACATATTTCAATTATGATCATCAATATAGAACATGTTCGAAATTATTTTGTACAAAATCACCATCTTATCAAATTGCATTACGTTTTATTCAGGTAAAAAACGATCAATAGTTAACTAAAAAAATGTCAATTTAATTTATTTAACAATCATGATTGTTGTTTATTTAGGGAAATCTTGTGAATAGTAGTTATCAAAATGATTGGATTGAAATACATCGTGTTACAACCGATTCAAATGGTTATGAAATAAATGAATTAAAGGCTTATTTAACGAACGGAAGTAATGATCAATGGGCTAAACCATATTCAATTAAAACGGGATGTTTACGATTGACTATTCATGCGTCAAATGGTCGTCCCACCAATGGTTTTATGGCTGAAATAATGACATTACCTGTTTCACCATTTTGTAAGTAGTTCTAATACTTCTTCGTTCAATTTTTTTGCATTTTTACGTTCATTTTAGCCACAAAAGAGATTATTCATAAAATTTCTGACAATACATTTATTGGAAATCAACATGGTGTATTAAATTATTTATCTGCTGGTGAGCGATCTGCTGATTTTTATTTTCAACGTAATACAATTATGTCCAATGGTTTTTATCGTTATAATTCATCATCATTATCAATAAATCAATTTTTATTTCAAAATGCACAACGATTTTATTTTGGAAATAATTGGTTAAGTCGAAATTTAGGTGGAACATATGTTCAATGCCATAGTCATTCGTCATCATCAATTTTTAATGGTTATATATTTAACAATGTATTCTATGACAACAGGTGTGACTGTTTTTCTTACAATACTAATGATCTTCTTTATTGTGCTTTTTTTTCTTTCTTCTTTTCTTTTAAGAAACGATTCTGTACTCGCTGTACATGGTGTTCAATTATCTGCTTATTGTAATTTATATACCTTGAGAAATGCACTTATATACAACGATGCGTATGATCGTAATCTAGTCAGTTTTGAAACAGTTGTAGCAAATTTTAGGTACGTAATATTTTCATGATTAAACTCGATTTATATAAATGTAAAAAATTGAAATATTTTAGTCGAAATCAAGTTTATAATAATACGGCGACAAATATTATTTCAATGTTTGGTTTTGATAAAATAGCTGCACCTTATCCATCTATAGAAATGAATACATTTAAGAGAAATAAAGCAGTTGGAGAATTAAATCAACCATTTTTAGATCGGTAAATTGATATTGATAGCATAGTTGAAAAAAAATTTCTATATATTTTGTTTATTATTGTTGTTTTTTAGAATGGGAGCAATTGTTGTTGCTAGTAATCCAAGACAATTGTATATGTTTAATACATTTGAAAATTTGGATAGTCGATATGAAATGTTAACAAAACCCAAATCATCGTAAGTTTAAAAATGAAGAAAACAAATTCCTCATAGACAATTATCTTATTCATTGTTTAGAGATGACATATTAACAACATCACAAGTGAATGCATCAATGAACTATTGGGGTAAAATGAATGTGAAAGATATTGATGCAAGAATTCATGATAAATACGATAATAAATTGTTATTAGAAGTCAATTATTTTCCACCTTATTTGGATCCGGGTACTCTTAGACAAGGTAAACATTAAACATAATTTATTTTTATAATTGAAAATTTTTATATCTCTCTTTTGTGTAATGATAGGAAAATGTGAACCGGGTTGGTCATTGAATGAAAATTTGTGTTACTTTTATTTTGGAAGTGTAACCACGTATCAAATGGCTGATGAATTATGTCAGTTTATGAATGGACGATTAGCACGTCGTGGTGTTCAAGGTCGTTTAAGTGTACTACGTGCTTTGTGGAAATCAAGTCAATATGATTTTAATAATGAAGCACCAGCGACAGGTGTATGGCTTGGAAAAGAGATGATGGTTAAAAATAATATTGTTTGTAATACATTTGATGATATGCAAGTCAATGATGTTAGTTGTACGTCATCAGCAGCATTCATTTGTGAAAAAGGTATGTTCACTTAACTAAATTTTATATAGAAAAAAAATCAAAATCTTATGTAATTTATTTTCTAGAACAATTATTTGAAAGTGCCCGTTTTCTAATTCGTGGTGAATTATTGATTGCTGCTGTTTGCCTTTTTGGATTATTAATACTTACTCTTCCTTGTATTTGTTGTTGGTATTGTAAATCGAAACAGCGCAAAAAAGATTCTTTTAATCGACAAAATTCTTTACGTCGAAGTATTAAACATGAAATAAGTAAAGAATCATTAAATGGAATAGCCTCACTTCCATCATCAACATTAACAAAAAGTGGTACATTGTCAACAATGACAACATCAACAATAACTGCAAATAGTTCAACAAAACAAAAATTATTATTAAATTCTTCAACAATAACCGCGTCCGATAATAGTGGTAGTCGTTTATTAAACCGTTTAAGTAGTTTAACAGATTCTTCTGATCAAGAAATAAATCCAAAAGTATTATCAAATTCTCAGATGCACGATTTTTCATTATTACGTTTACGTAATCATCAACAACAATATAGTCCATCAAAATCACCAGGTACATCGACACCAGCTATGAGTGAAACAAATTATGATACAAGTTCACAACGTGGTCTGATTGATCATTCAAGTGAAAAAAGTTTATATTCACCATTACACAGTCCTAGAAATGTGTCAGCCTCTCTCAATCGTAGCAGTCATCGTTATACTCCAATAAATAAGAATTTGACTTTAACACCACCCTCTCTTCCACCAGCTCCGCCTGTTGTTAATCGACGCTCAAAAAAACGTGAAATAGAAACAAAAAATGATTATATTCAACCCTTGGATGAACAACGTACTCGTTCATCTGCAACATCTTTAGCAACACCAGATGATTATTATTACAGTCAACATTCATCGACAACACCAACTTCAACTATAAGCCAGGGTAGTAAGCCTTCATTGTTAAATAATGATAATACTTTAATTAATCGACAGCCAATGCTAATGAGCTTCGTACAACGTCATCGTATCAATTATTTTCTTCCACCTCAAACACAAACTCAAAGTACTCAAATGTATGAGACGATTCAAACAACAAATGACGAAGCAAAACCGCCCCCATTAGAAACACATATATAAAAATCATGATCAGCATTTATTTCAACTTGCTGTGCAGATGTTTTTCTTATCAGATATTCTATACCTTTTTTTAATCTCTATGTCTCTTCTTTTGTAATGGATTTCAATGATAAAAATTGTGGTGCTACTCTGTCCTTTTTACGATCTTTCTAGACTAATTTAATAGGGATTTTTAGCAACAAGAGTTGTCCGCTCTCTTTGCTCTTCTTACGACGGAACTTCGCCAAATAATTAATCCCTTTTTTTCTCGATACATATGTTATTATAATTACTTTTTCTGTAATTTTTGATATTGATCACAAATCTAATGTTCGTTTTTATCCACAGGCTCTTCTTGCACGATGATGTGCTCTGTTATCTGCCAGTAACAGTATGTGTCCGATTGAAAGTTCTAGATCTGGTTTCTGCAGATTCATCTACAAAGAGCCTATTGATAGAAACGAACATTAGATCTGTGATTAGTATCAAAACCTACAAAAAACGTTAAAATAACATGTGTAGAGGAAAAAGCAATTGATCATTTGATGACGTTCTCTGATGACAAACGTGCCCATCTCATCAACCTCTGGTAAAATAGCACGTTCAATAAAAATGTGCAAAGAATGTTTTGATCGGGTTAAACTGTTTTTATGCTGTATAGTTTTGTCTATGTATCGAATCTCGAATCAGCAAATTTATTGCTATTTTCTAATTTTTTTTTTCCATAGCGCTAGACAAAGATTCATAGTGATATATATGCCATAAATTTTGCGTATTTTTTTTGTTTTGCATTGTTTTCAGTATATGTACAGCGAACTACTACGATTTCAACCTTCAAAATACATTCCATTTTCTTTTTTCAGTATGGTTTTTGACGTTATTTTTTAATGTTGTTTGTAGTCGATATTCGTGTTTTTTGTACATTTTATTTGTGGCTTTTGTATTTTGTAATTTTGAATGTATAAATTATTTGTGTTTGCACTGCGACCACTTGCTGTATGAAAATGCGTTTGCTCATTCCTACTTTCATTCAATCTCCACAGTTTAAAAGCATCGATGTTACTCACTAGGCATCATTTGCCAAAATCATTACACTGACCAAAAAGATAGTTGTAAATATACCCTCGCGCATTTTTGTATTATTCAGGAAACTAAGAAAATAAAGCTATATGTACAAAGTGGATCTCGCTCAATTAAGAACGACAACAATGTTTTTACTCATCGAATTGATAGTAAGTTTATAGGTTAACCAAAATCAACGCTACAGTATGATTAAATTGTATTTCGTTGCTATGATTGTAATACGTGAGCAAATTTTATGTTGAGAATGTTTTTCGCTTCTGTGGCATTCATTAACCCGAACATCAGTGGCACATATAACGAGTGGAGCATTGGTTCTTTAAAAATTTGTAATATATTCAACTTAAAGCCTTTAGAAAACGTTTTCTTCGAGAGCATGGCCCAATCCTTATTCTCGAACTAATTCTGACTGACTCAATGGTGTAAAATCCTGGTTGCACCGTCACTGAACATAACTGTTAGTAAATTGGAAAGCCTACAAGAAAAGATAGAAGAAAAGATGTTTTCGTTTTGTTTGTTTAAATGACAAATGTAAAGCAAACAATTTCTGAAGTACAAGCAGTTCTGGACACATGATTCCAAACATTTAACTGATAAAATATATGTAAGAGTAGCATGCAGTAACACTTTTGCAGTAAAAGTGCCATACAAGTTGGTTTTTTCGCACGGCTTTCGTCTTCCACTGTGATTCAAGCTCTCACTGCTAGCGATATCTGACGGGTAAAATAAGCTTACAGAGACTGAAGCTGTTTTATGATTCGCAAGTAATGTAGAAGCGCTTTGTTTAGTTAGCCAATAAAAAAAGGTTATATTTCTCTTCTGCAAGGAACTAGATTCAATGTATTGATTTGATACAACTGTGAAAAGCACGACGCTTTTGCCTATTGTAAAAGCGTTGTAGCATAAGTGGCGGATTCACAAGACTCAATGGGGTCGAGCCTCACTAGATTTGGAGGAAAAAAAATCTTTTTACTACTAAAAGCTCACGAGTTTCGGGTATTCAAAAAAGAAAGGCTTCTACATGATGTGAATGAATAATATCTCGGTCAATTTTTTAACCTTGAGATAGCCTGCGAAACATCGTTCTATAGCAGGCCAAGCGAGAATTTTTCTAAAATCCACACGACCTTTAAGAGATAAAAAATATTGAGCTTTATTAAGTTTCAAGGCGCTCCAGCACCTATGCGTTGTAGTATCAAATTTCTAGTACGAGCGTGTAACACTTTTGAGAAAATCACTTTTACTGTATCTGTACTAGTACCATATTTTTACTATGATGCATGACGATGGTAAATTGAAAATTTCACTAAATTTCGCATGACTTGATCATGATAAAAACGTTGATTCTAGTCGCTGAGCATGGCCAAAAAACGTGTTTTGGACAGTGTTGCACCGTTTCAGGGTTAAAATGTTTGATTGCTATGAGAAAAAAAAAAGGTTTAATATTTTTATTCTCTCTTTGGATTGTAGTTTAGATTTATTGAGTGGAAAAAAATGCATGCAATTGCATTTTGTTCTAGCAAAAGTTTATGTCAACGAGAGTTGATTCTAGAGAAGTAAACTGAGTAAATGCTTTACCAAATGTGTAACAAATACTAACTAATAAGACTTGTAGAGTCCTTTCACTTACGTGATTTGTAAACGTTTGAATGAACACGTGTTGTCTATCAAGAAGGAAATTTATTGCTTTCTCTTACTTTGTAAACTGAGAATAAAGGACGGCCAAACATCAGTCAGAGAACTTGGTCTGATATATTTTATTTTCAACGAAGAGAGAATGAAAGAATCTATCTTTTTAACATTTATTTATAGATTCTAATAGTGATGTCAAAATTATAATAAATAGAACCCCAATGAAGAAGACAGCAGCTACTCGCGATGCGGCGCTTAATCGTGAAACCGGTTCTCCAGTTGAAGTAACTGCTCTTGGTTTGAAAAACATCCATGATTAATAAACTTTTTGTTCTGTTTTAATTAGGTATTTTGTCGACTTCGTCCTCCACCGGAAGGTGAATCTGAGACATGTATCAAAGTATCAAGTGCCACTGAACTCGTACTTTTCTCTCCCGAAGTGAGTTGAAGAAGAAAAATCATCAATTGTTGATAATAATTTATGAGAGAATAATCTTTATCTTTAGGGTTTAAGAAACGGTATCATCAAAGAAGTACGTGTCTTCTATGAACGAAACAATCCTATTGTGTTTTTGTGTTCTAGTCTCATTATGAATTTAGCCATATTCTTACTGATCGTGTAACACAACAAGCTGCTTTCAAAGAGTTATGTTTACCGTTGATTGATGATTTAATTCAAGGCAAAAGCAGTACGCATTCTCTACTTATATTTTTTACTCTACTATCAGTTGCATAGCTGATGTATCTTTTTAGGTGTGTTGTTTACATATGGTATCACCGGTTCTGGAAAAACGTTTACAATGATGGGACCATTGAATAATCCCGGTTTAATTCCGCGCTCTTTTGATGTCTTATTCAACACAGTTGGAAATTTACTTGGAAAAAAATTCGTAAGTTTCAGATTTTTGGGTTTCTGTGTGAATGTTGCGTTTCTATTTGATTAATTGAATATCCTCATGTCTTTAGTGTAGTACAAAATTTCGATTGACTTAGACTTATTTGTTGTTTTGTCTGAACTGTTTTCTCAATATTCTTAGTTGTTACGTTCTGATAGACAAAATGGTTACGAAATTTTAAGTGAATATGATATAATAACAGAACGTTCACGAAAAGAAATATTTACAAAAAATCAACGAATTAAGTAAGCTCTCTCAATCTTTCTTTCTTATACTTCAATCAATTGTTCTTTTTATATTTCAAGGCCTGACATCATTACTAGCCAACAACAGCAAGTTCAAAGGACATTAGATACCACACAATTATCAAATTTTAATCAAAACTGTTTATATTTTGTATTTGTAACATTTGTTGAAGTTTACAATAATTATATTTATGATTTGTTTGATGATGATATACTTAATAAGTGAGTTCAACTCAGATGTGGGCAACTCTGGCTAGGTACAACTCCAACTCCGAGGGTCTCAACTCCGATTTGAAATCTATTCGTTCTTTTTCCTTTCTGCTTTTTAATTCGTTAGAGATGTGAGGTGCATCATATGTTATTATATGCTGAGGACACGTTTATATCTCTCGCTACAAAAATAGATAAAAATCAAACAAAAAGAACTCTGGCGAAGAAACGGAAATGAAGTTGAAGAGATTTTGAACCAAAGTTTCAGGGTTAGAGCTGACAAAATCTGTCATTAACGCAACTTCAGTCGTTTAAAAAGCAAACTCCAACTCAACTCCGACTCCGCAAAAAAAGACAACCAACTTCGGAGTTGAGTTGTCTATCTCTGGTTCAACTCATAGATTTTGCGTTGTCTGCAAAAAAAGTATGAAATTTTTGTTTTGTTTTATAGAGCACCACAATCGAAACAATTACGTGAAGATGCTCGCGGACGTCCATATATTAAAGATGTGAAAGAAATTGAAGTTCGATCATCAGAAGAAGCCATTGAATTACTCAACATTGGCTTAAAGCGACGTCGTATAGCACATACACAATTAAATACAGAATCAAGTCGATCACATAGTGTTTTATCGTTACGTCTCGTACAATTTCAAGCGGATATTCCTCCAACCTCATTAGTGTGTTTTAGTTTCTACAAATACAAATATATATTCCAACAAATTTCACTTATATTTAGACACGAGAAGATTTAATGGTTAGTCAAATACACTTGGTTGATTTAGCTGGTAGTGAACGTGTCAATCGTGCAAAAACAGCTGGTGATCGTGTCAAAGAAGCCGGTATTATTTATCTTTTACCTTAATGCGCTCTGAGCTAACAGTGACCTTCATTTTTATAGGTAATATTAATTCATCTCTGATGGTCTTGCGTCAGTGTTTTGAAATATTACGAGAAAATCAAGCCCAAGGAATAAATAAAGTAATGTTAAACAACTTTATTAACTACTAAGTATTCTCATGTCTTTGCCTTTTGTTTATGAAGATGGTTCCTTATCGTGATGCAAAATTAACATCATTTTTTAAAAGTTATTTTGATGGTGAAGGCAAAATTCGTATGATATTATGTGTTAATCCAGCTGTTGATGGCTACGAAGAAATACAAGTAAAATTTTAGCTGAACAACACACTTGCGCTACTAGCTTTACTTTGTTTAGTCTACTATTTTGTTTTTCCTTTATTTTGATCTTATTGTACTCTCACTTCGTTGAAACCCGATTTTCCTCGAGTTCTGTCTGTCGATTAGTGATAGATTAACGCACATATATGTTATATGCTTAGGTATTAGAACTGAGCTGTACTAGTTTCCAGTACAACTGCAGTTTAATTTGACTTCATTCACTTTATGTGACTTGAAAAAACTTTGATAGAAAAAAACCAACTCCTGTCACTTGTCTCGATTCTTTTAAGGCTCATTTTCATTCCACTCATCCTCCTTTTTTAGCATGCACTGAAATTTGGCGATTTAACGAAAGATGTTATTGTTCCACGAGCACCAGCACCCATCCCACTTCGAAATCGAAATATACTCCGTGAAATAGCTAATAATGGACCCGATGCTGTTCCTAATCAATCACCATCACCCATGGTTTTTCAAGAGTTTCAGTAAGAAGAAGAAACTTAAAGAGATGAATAAATGTATAACATGTTTTGTTTATGCTATTTTAGTTCAACAGCACTTATTGCTCCATTTCCGCGACTTGAATACTCGATCGAAACAGACGAAGATCCCATTAATAATTTGCAAGATCATTTAACAAAACGAATCGAAGAACGTCGTCGTTTAACTGTGGCAAGTATTTTTCTTAATCATTTACATTGACAGTCTTTAAAAACTCTCTCAATTTTAGATTATCCATGAACAAGAAGAATATTTACGAAAGTATATCTTAGAATTATCAATGGAATATGATCAATGTTTGATTGAACATGATGAATTGAGAAAAGAAAATGAACAACAATCTAAAACAATTAAACATTTACAGACACGTATCAAATTACTTGAAAAATCACAAAATGATTATGTTAAAACAAATAGTAATTATGAGAGAGATATTAGAACATTGAAAAGTCAGGTGAAAAATAACTGACTATTAAATTATTTTCAATAATCAAGTTTGAATTTGTTTACATTTAGATGGAAGAAAAAATGAATGAAATTAAACAGTTGAAAGCTGATCGACGAAAAGATAAAAACGATTTTGAAAATAAAATGCGTGTAAAAATCATGGATGTTGAACAGCAACATGTATGTCTCTTTATGTCTGTAATTATACCACGTTTGATTAAATATTCTGTTATTTTAGTTAAATGAATTACGAAATAAAGAATTGCAAATGAAAGAATTAGAACGACAACATGAAGATAAATTAAATATTATAAGATCAATGGCGAGCGGTATGTGTGATCAAACGACATCAACAACTACTACTCGTATAGCACATGCTGAATTTGCACAAATTCAAACTAATGTTCAAGTGTACGATATTGAGTAAGATATTGAATTTCAACTCTCCTTTTACTTTTAAAAATCGATGTATTCCTTAGAAATAATAATCATCCGACAGCAACTCAATCACTTGATATGATTGATCGAATACAACAATATAATCGTGTTGAGATGATTTTACCCCGAAGTACGCCAATTGAACAAATTCCTATTATTCACAGCGATTGTCAGGGTCCAGTTGTTGCACATCCACGGCAACAACATCGACGTTCGAGATCTACTAGTGAAGTTTGGTTTGATCATAGACCGCAGGGAACATTAACAACAGGTAATCAGATGGACTTTGCAAGAGATATGAAATAGGATTCATTCGGCATCTAGATCAATTTTGGCTTTTATTTGAGAAACCCTTCTTCAACCGCAATTCAGCAAGAAATTAGGTGGACAACAACCTGAAAAAGATGATATTGGTCGAACAACAAAATACGTATTGACACATCAAAATTTGGATAGTAACGGTGAAGTTGTTACAGATTTAGTTAAAGTAGGGATGGTTGTTTTACCATTGTCCTATTCACTTTTTTTTTGCACATTTTATCGTTAAAGGGTGATGTACTACATTCTGTTGGAGGTGGTGTCAACGTTATTTTCAATGATATTGAACGATTGACATGTCAATCACCGCCAAATCCGTTAGTAATCAAAAAACGAGCCAAGAGCGCAGAACGCTTATTACAAGAAGTAAGGAAAAGAGAAAATATCCCAGTATCAAAGAATCACCTTGTTTGTTTATTATAGACACGTACTCCAAAATCTTCTTCACGTCAACCACCAGAGGTTCCACCAAAGTGTGTATTGTATCTTGTCACTTAACAAAAATTTAATTTCTTTTGTTTTAGGCGATTTCGTATTTAAACAGCGTGTCCAAAAATTGTCTGTCTTTTTTTCCTGTAATTTTTATTGTATTTATATTGTATAGTTAAAAGTCTGCTTTTTTATGGTACACATACATTCTTTTATTTTGATGAATTTTGTATGTTTTTGCCTTGGTTGTGACAATCAAAAAAAACTGTATGTATTTTTTAAATTGTGGTGACAATCAAATAGAATAAATGAATGATACAAAACGAGTTAATTGTCTCTGAAAAATCAGTCAATCGTCTCGTTAACCCTTTATGCTTGATCGTCCCTTCCAGAGGACGTCACCATAACTGCTAGAAAAAAGTAACGCAATGCTAAATCAAAAATTTTTCAATCGAATTCTTTTTGCAGCGTAAGCTAACACTCTATAAATAATGATTGCTAATAACAAAAAGTTTTCATCAAGTCTAAACAAAGGTATACACGTTTCAAGTTTGATTTGTATGATTAAATGCCGGGTGTAAAGGGTTAATTTGAAGTAATACTTGCAAAATTATTTCAATACGGAAAAATATCGCGTAATTCATACTTCTATAACTAAGGAGATTTGTTTTATATTTTTCCTGCTTTGTCAGCATGAAAATGCAAATAAATGCACATCAATACTTTTTGTTGTGTAATTTTCTTTACTAAAGTCTTTTTCTTTCTTCTCTTTTCTCTTCATTTCTCGTCTGTATTACTCATCTCTATGATTAATATTCATCATATCTGGGCATTACAGAAAATACTATATATACCCCCATTCACAGTGAAAATTTTATTTTTCTCAATCGAAACAAAGCATAAACACTACACAAACTAGTACAAGCATCAAAATGACTCAAACATTGATTGTAAAAGCCTATTATGATGATTTAAATCAAACTCAACCAGAAATTCGACGCTTTGAGGTAGGTTGACGTGAGCATCTCTACTCTCTTCTTCGCTCACACTACATGTTCGATTTTGGTTATGTTTTAGGTGAACATTGCATCGGAAAATGATGTTTATCATGAATTAGAAGCTAAAATTGCTCAACTGAATCCCGAGTATGTTATTGGTCAGTTTTCGTTGCAATATGTCGACGAAGATAAGGA